GTGACAAGCTGAAAGAGGTTCATCATGTAGCATCAGCTCCACTGGGAGGGGTGTGCACTATGCATAGAGCCTTTCTAACACCTCTCTCTCTCCCTCTCTTTCTCTCTTCATCTCTGTCTCTCTCTCTCCTCCTTCCTTCCTTCCTAATGGGCATCTCATCCTTATCCCATTAATCTTCTCTCAGACGGCTTTGAGATTGAACAATGCTGTTGATAACCACTTCCGCAGCTCCAGTGCTTTAAGTATTCTTGTTGAACTGTAAACTGAACTGTTTGACATTGGCTACATGCGATCACAGTGTACTGGTGTAGGTTTCACTATGCTTAAAGTGCTAGCATTACAGCAGAGGGGGTTATGCAGTACATACACAGCATGGTTTTTTTTTGTTTTTTTTTTTGCTTCGGATTGGATTTCAAAAGAAAACAGCTCGGTATAATTCGCCAAAATAAAATGATAAGATCTCGAATGAGCTCAGTAGCTAATTATCTAATGTCTTTGTTGACATTTCAGAGAAAAGATACTCGATATGTACATGCAGCATCGGATCGGGCGTTTAGAGCCAAGCGGTAACAAGCTCAAACAACAGACCTATTGTCGTACTTGTCATAGGCAGTAATTTAAAGCATCACTGGTGAATGAAATTAGCTCCCAAAGTTTAGTCTGGGAGGCAAACAGCATTCATTACAGTGATAGATAGGCTGACTTGCACTCATTTTCTCACTGTTTAGTTACATACAGTTTGACCCAGAACAACTGGGCCCATGCTTTTCCATGCTTGTTTGGGAAATCAATATCATCCCTTATATCAAAACAGGCCCATTAATCAGCCTCACATTAGCTCAACTGTATACACTGAGGCTTGAGAGACGCTCAAACCCAAACAACATCAAAATAACTGCAATTCAAAAAACACAAAGCACTCTACTTTCAGTACACCTCCAGAGACTCGTATAATACAGTGAGCTACGTCGGCACTGAAAATTACATAGCTTGCCCAATGCCCTTTTCAGAAATATATAGTAATTATCTCCTGTGTCATACTGGTGACATTTACATTCAGAAAGAATGGCATTCTAACACCGCTCTTCCTTCATTCGAGTGAATTTGTGAGAAACATTAATTATGCATAGCAGGCGCTGTAAACATTTTGATAATGAGGTGGGTGTAGCCAGTGGATGTGTAAATATTTAAAGACTGCTCTCTCCATCAGCAGACATGAGCTCAGAAGCAGTAAAGACCGCAAAGAGTGTCAATTCTAGAAGATCTGGAGCTGTCCGTTAACTCTGATGACGACAACAGGTGTAACAAATCCCAAGCCCTCATGCAACACGTTCAGTTTTAGAGATGCTGGAGTCATACATTGTTATTAGTTTTCATTGTTTTCCTTTTTTTGTTGTTGTTGATTTTGTGATGAATTCGACAAACGGAAATGATTCAAAATTTAAAAATGATGAGAAAAATCTCATTACATTAACATATATTAAAGGGAAATTCCATCATTAAAACAGGAAATGTCTGCATAATTCCATCGTTGAGAGGTAAACAAAGTCATTAAGAGTGGTTTGATGTAAAATGGTTCATTTACAGTGGTGGTGATAGAGGGGGTCACAGTGTCTACAAAACAATTATAGCAATTTTATTTACTATCCAAAATGAGCAGTGAACCCACACATTCCTTCTGAGGTTCTATATTTAAGGTTGATAATGGTGAAATAGTTGTAAATCTGAAAAAATAAGGTTTATTTGGGTACTATTTTTCTCTCCACCATGAATGGATTTTAAAAAAGAAAACGTTTTATGCCAAATGCTTTTTGCAAAACTATCATAAAACCATGTCTCAGGCATCAGGAATCATAGAACAATAATGTGGACTGTCTGGGGGTTCCTAAGGATAGCCTTGAGAACCACTGCTTTAGAGACATTAAACTCTAAACCAATGCTGTGGACAATTCTAACTCGGTAAGTTTATGTACAATACTGAACTTCAAACCAAACCTCTGAATAATATCATATTCACTTCATTATGGCAGAATTTTCTAGGTTCAAGTTGAAATTTCCTGGGTTTGATCAGTGATTAAAAAAAATACACTCAATTCTGTAGTGCACAAAATTCAGACTGAATAACTGAATAAGTTACAGCAGCAAGGTTTTTCTACACTAATCTCTCACAAACAAGGCTCCATTCTATTCACTGTTGGGAATAATTATTTAATCTACAAGCTTTATTTTACCTGTCAGCATCTATCAGTGCTAACAACAGGATTTCAGTGTTGTAGTTGTGGACGTGCTGCAATACCTCAGGTATGATGATTAATAAGGGCGTGCTGCGTGAGTAAATCGATGCAAGATGCCCACTGCTGCAGTCTAATGAACACCCAGTGACAGAAACACATCACTACAGATCATTCAAAAGCATTTTAAGGGCAGCAAACACACTAAAAAATGGAGATCTGTCCTTTTTAGAATTATTACACAAGGAAAAAACAGAAGTTTGTGATGGTCTTGTTTAGAAGAATGAATTATAACATCATGTCTTGCTTCAGATATTTTTTTTGTTTGTTTTCTACTGTCAAAATAACATAAAGCAGAGACTGATAGCTTGTACATGTGGTGTCAGGTTAATGGCACATCATCCACACTTGCTCTAACTGGCAGTTCGTGTAACAAGCAAATGACAGAAAATTTTATATGATCTAAAATTCCATGCAGTTATCAGTAGTTGTGTACATGAGAACTGTTAGAAAATGGTCTAGGATTAAGCTCATGATTCTGTTTTGTTTTCTGTGACTCAACTATCCTGTACAAACTGAATTTGCTTTGATGTCAACAGTGGACACGGTCACCCTTTCCGTCTGTTCCTGCTCTAAGTGGTTTGTTTGTCATCCTGCAGAGTTAGTTTTCCATCCAGCCTTGTAAACTCTTCACTCCAAGCTGAATGCCTCTCCGTCATGCACCAGGGATCTGCCACTGACATCACGCTTTCTAATAGCCAAGCAGCAGGCCGCAGAAACGCAGACAGCAAACACTGGCTGGGCTCTGCGCACCACACTAGAAAGTCCAACACAATGATAGGATTGTGTTGACAGAAAACAATAATACCTCAGAGACAGCCACCAACCTGGACTTGCACATTTCCAAGGATAGAAACAGCTGAGTCCAAATAGCCTCCGCAGATATGCAATCCCTTGTCAAAAGTAATTACAAATGAATGCTATTAACTATGACTGTCAGTGGTCAGAAGCACCAGCATACAGTAATTACTGTACATCAGTCTGTTCCTTTTAGTAAGGATGTAAAACCATATGAAGCACCCCCATAAATAGAGCACTTATGCATTTTTAATTGAAGTCATTTATCACACTCAGAGCATTGTTGGACTTCATACATCTATGATGGATCTTCAGAATGAGCCCAATTTTCTATTCTTATCCTCATTTATAAATATTTGAATCACCTATTCGCCAGTGTCTTTACTTAATGAAAGAGAAAGAGACAGATGCATTTTTCAGTGGGATTACAGTGCTAATCTTACATTATTAGAATTGTTCTGTTCTTTCTGAATATTCACCAATTGAAAAGGTTCAACAGGTGATCCATCTGTTGCCTGCATCATCCAGTTTTTCAGATTTATTATTATTAACTACATTGCTGACTCCCTTCGTGATTCAATTGTTGCTGTTTTCTCATAAAGAGCTTGAATGATCATTGGTCATGGGACAAAACGACAATATCAACTCGCAGTGTCCTAGGAATGTACATCTAAAATATATATATATATAACATATTTCAGATCATCATTGGCAGATTGTGAAATCATCCATTTTAGCAACAGTGCATTTGTCGGTGGAACTAGCAGGCCTGGAGTGATGTCAATAGTGATCAATAAAACTCTGTCTAGATCTACAGATTCACAACAAACAATAATCTTTTGGTGCTTTACATTCAATATGAGTTCCCCACACAATTGTAGTGGAGCTTCTCAGTACATCCAATATTTATTAGGATGAGAAGTTTGTTATATGCTATTATTCTCTTTTTTGCTGTAAAATTCAAGGCTAAAGTTTGAAAGTAAGAGGCCTGTGCAACAGAGAAAACCCTGTAGGTGTGTAAAAAAGAGAACAGGATGAAATTAAAAATAAAAAAAAATTAAATCACAGATTTGAGAACAAATTGCACTGTTGTATTGGCCAGTTTTGAGGCCCTGTTAAGGATGCTTTGGTTAGTCTTACTTGCACAGCATACACCTTAAAGGGAGCTGGCTGACGGAAACCTATTATGCAATAAAATTGCAAGTGCAAGCTCACTGTTCATCAAACGAGAGTTCAGCGCCAAAAAAACAAGGACAGAGAGGTGTGCAGCCCAGTGTGTGCTATTTTAGATTAGGGCTACAGAAATACGTCATACGGTTGAACTCCTCTTTGCCTCGGGCTGCATGACAACGTTTCAGTGATATTTCAATGTGAAGACTTTCCACGTGAGTGGAAGAGGCAAAACAGAAGAACAGGCGTTGTTTTCTTTTCCCACCCATATTCCGACGAAGCGCCGCCTCCTTCGCTGGGATTGGCTAGCAGTCAATCCCAGAGCAGAGAATGGGATCCTGGCTTCTACATGATTAAGTCTAATCGAGATTCCCACTGCTGAGGTGCTGTAAAAGCACAGAGGCACATAATTGGAAAACAAAATGAAAAGTATGCTATTTTTAACAAATGACTTAAAGGAGTTTCTTATGTCGTTCAGGAGAGTGAATCAGAGCTAGCTTCAAATTTCTGATATATGACTAAAAACAAAGCAGATTTTATTATTATTATTATTATTATATGTGTAATTTAAACACAATAAAAGTGCTAATAAACACAATGTGTGTAGCTGGCCAACTATTTTTCCCAGAGTTAAGCCTGAACTGCCACCCAATCGCAGCTCAGGGAGGCGGGGCTTGTCACAAAACAGGTGGAGAAACAGAAAATCACGCTGATAAAGGAGACGGAATGAGCTCCGAGGCGCCACAGCAACTCCTCCAGAAGCAGCAGGAGGGGCAGCGACTCACAGCAGAGCCATGAACCGGGATATCTGCCGTGTTTAATGGCACGAAGAGCAAGTCGGATGGCTGCACACATCCTCCTCAGCTTAACTGAGACCACTTTGTTTTTGAGACTGTGACTGAAGGCTGTTTGGGTTTTGCCGAGCTGAGTGTGACGAGTGAGGAGGAGCAGCGAGTGAGAGAGGGACACTTTACACAGTTTTGACTCTTGTTCTGTCTCAACCTTACCTTACTTTACTTTCTGGACACTTTTTGCACGAATGAGCTTCATATGCTGCTGTCTCTGGCGCTCAGCTAGCTGACTGGCATCCTTTAGTCCGGGGGATCTTCAATCAGCTCAATATGTACCAGGGGCATCTCCAGGTAAGAGTCTTTTTCCGTTTAAAAATGTTTACGGTGTTCACATTTGCTCTTCACTGCATGCTGCTCGGGATGATTTGAGGATGAGATGGTGATGTTTTCTCACAAACGGTGAACGGTTATGTGAAAAGTTGCCCAAAGTAGCCTGCAAACACACGCTTGTCTGTTACTGCACGTCAGCGTCGGTTGTTTTATTCCCACCTGTATTCCATCAAGGTCCGCCTTCGTGCGCACTCATTGGCTAGTGTTGTCACTCGCTTGCGCTGGAATTGGCTAGTAGTTCACATCCACTTGCAATCAACCAATAATTGGATTGCACTTGAGTACGAACAACTAGCCAATCCTAGCACAGGAGGGCGGGGCATGTATGAATACGGGTGTAAATAAATGACGCGCGTTAACCTAAGTTTCCTGGTTCTTGTGTGGCTTTAACAGCACTGACTGCACTGAGCTTGGCTGTAGAAGGTCCATTAATTAGTACGTTTTCATCTGATAGTATGTTTTCATGTTATTAAATCCATCCATCTCATACTGACCTGTACTCATTTTATTGTACCAGTTCAGGCAAAAGCTGGCTTAAACCCCGGTGTTCAGAGAAGCTACAGCTTTACTGGATGAAATGCCAGTGTAAGCAACTTATACAGTCTACTTACCTGTATTTAAGATTTGGCCTAAATATTTTGGTACACTTCATATGAAGAAGTTTAAGCTTGGGAAATAACATTCCTTATAGTTCTTATTAGGAAACTGCTTAATATGTTTTCTGGTGCTGAGTTTTGATGAAAGTTGTGAGGAAGGTTGCAAGCGAGCTCTGTCAATTTAAGTGGGGTGGGGGGGGGCATGTTCTTCCCACTTTTTACATTATTCAAGCTAAGAATTCTGTAAAAATGGCATTGTTTATATATATATATATATATAAATTCTGAGTATGTATGATTTTCCTGAGATGTCAATATAATAAATATAACTGTAGTTTTGTTTACCCATTTTTACACTTGAATTGCTGTGTGTAAGCTATAGCCTTCTGACATTGCCCCCTCCTCCCCTTGTCAGACCAAATTTGCACCCCTGGGTATGCTGCAAAATCCCCAGAGTTGAACCTCTCTTACAGCCTTCATTTGTGTCCAGCTGGACTTAGATGAAAAGTCTAGCTCAGCATTTCCCAAACTGGTCCTTACGGACCCGCAACTGAAACATATTTTTGCTCAATCCGTGCTCCTGAGGAACCCTCAGGGCTGGGTTAGACACTCTTGTAGGTGTTAATTCAGCACTGGGGATTTTACTGCGTGGTTGATATGCACAGCCCACCTATACATTCATTTGTTATATTAGACTTAACTGCTTAATAATCACAATAGTGCTTAAATAACAAAATCTTACAGCTACTACCTTGTCAAGTGATCATTTTCTAAAGAACTGCTGTTCTTGATCTCTTATTTATAAGGATCACTCATAAAGCACATTCTGAAATTAATACTCCAGCTTCAGCCCCTGCCCACTGGCCTCTGTTATGAGAGCATATCAAGTTGACGGGTTTGCTGTTTTTTTACTAAGTACAGGGAAAGATGTTGAAATTATTGCCTGTGATAATCAACCTGCCGCAGATTCAACAGACAGAGATTAGGTTGAGAAACAAAGGCAACCACCAAAAAACAACAATAAGAATCCTTAAAGCTTCTATAAGCTCTATGAACAGACAAGTACAACCTCAAGACTTCCACTTCAGACAGTATGGATCCATATAAAAGATCACAAGTATAATAATAATAATAATAATAATAATAATAATGATGATACAGCGTGAGCTTTCATAATTGACAAATGCAATTGTTCATTGATCATGCTTTAAAGAACCTATATGAAACAATGCTGCTTGAAAGCAGAACAGGTTCCCTTACAGGGCTCAGCTGATGAATGCTGAAATAGTTCTACCTGATGTGTTTCTACCTGTTGGTGCGCTGAATTATAAGCATAGTGTAGTAAACGTTGCGTTGTTATTCAGTTGATATGCTTTGTCTGAAACTCAGAGACATGAATACCTCTGTCAGCATGTGCAATGGAGGTAACCCAACACCTTCTAGAGGCTCAAATAAACCTATTCATATCTTCATTGACCATGTTAAAGCTTTTATGTTATTCAGTGGAGAGTGAGTGAGAATAAGCTATCACATTTTCCCTGTCAGGTAAAGAGGTAATTCAGGAGGAAATGTTCTCCTCATGAAAACCAGATGTTTTATCTGTCCTTCATGGATCTCTCCACGGCTATGCCTTCTCTAAACAGATGCACTTATCTTGACAGTGATGGCTCATTCTTCCTTGAAGCAGTCTCTAAGTATATGCTTATCACTATTGAGCTCCACTGTTTGTCAGAATGTGCCGGAAGATGGAAATTTCTCTTTAGCTCTTGTATTTATGTTGCAGGCTTATACGCTATTACCCTATTTAACTAACGATTATGTTTATACAGTACAGCGCTATACTGATCAGTAGGTTTTTACCCCCATCACCTAATTGTAATTAATTTTTATGCAGTATGTGTTATGATTCATAAGGACAAAGATGTTCATGGATGATGACTACTCGTACAAGGAAACATGAAGTTCCAGTTTTTCAGTAGGATCACAAGATTGCAGATTCATAAGAATCGTCATTAAGCTCATGGGGAGAGTTATAAGCTTTTACACTAGGCCAGTGACAGTTATAACAAATTGTCTGATTGCAATTATTTCAGCTGATCACAGTTATTTTCCACAGGTGATTTTCCTTCCCAATCCTCATGAACAGTATGTGAATTGGTTGCATTTTTTAGCAGCTGGGCTAAGGTGGATACATGTACAAACCCAACTCCAAAGAAGTGTACACATACACAGTACACGTTTAAAAACAATGGTTCTTCTAGGGTTCTTTAGTAAAGAAAATGATTCTGTATAGGACCATAAACACTCTAAAACTTAAAGAACCATCCTTTTTAAAAATGTCAGTAAAGTGCAAATAAAAACAGGAAGCTGTGATTAACAATCCTTTTTCACATGTATTGAATTGAAAACAGTGCAAAGACAAGATATTTAATGTGCAAACTAATTGACTTTATTGTTTTTGTATATATACACTTATTGTAAATTGCACATATTACATCACTTTTAATTTTAACAATGTTTAGTAATAATTTGGGATCTGAGAACTTTTTTATCTTGCTTGAGCTGCTGAAGTGTTATATCAAGCAAGATAAAAAACATTTTTTTTTCAAGGAAGCACAATATTCGACAACGGAGACCCCAACATGTTTAGGGTCACCGTTGTTGAATATTGTGCTTCATAATGCGCCAACGCCATGTGTTTTCAATAGGAGACAGGTGTGGACTGCAGGCAGGCCAGTCTAGCATCTGCACTCTCTCACTATGAAGCAACACTGTTGTAACACATGTAAAATGTGGCTTGGCACTGTCTTGCTAAAACAAACAGTGATGTCCCAGAAGAAGACGTAGTCTAAATGGCAGCACAGTTTGCTCCGAAATGTGTATGTTCCCCTTAGCATTTATTGTGCCTTCACAGATGTGCAGGTTATCCATGCCATTGGCACTCACAGACCCCATACCCAATAGATGCTGGCTTTTGAACTTTGCATTGGTAACAGCTTTGAGGGTCCTTTTCCTCTTTGGCCTGGAGAACATCACATCCATTATTTTCCAAAACAGTTTGACAGGTGGACTCGTGAGACACAGCATACATTTCCATTTTGCGTTAGTCCATTTTGAGTGATTTTTGGCCCACAGCAGTCGACGGCATTTCTGGTTGTTGTTGACAAATGGCTTCTATTTTGCATAGTAGAGTCTTAGTATGCATTTGTAGTTGCAGAGATGAACAGTGTTTACTGACAAGTGTTTCTGAAGTTTCTCTGAACCCATGTGTTATATTCATTACAGGTTATTAACATTTAATAATGTTTTTGGCCCTGCTTTGAATGTTGTTCTTAAACTGTTGACACTTTTTGGCAATGTTGAGCCTTGACCCATCCTTGCTCATAAAGGATATTTTATATCCAAGCATGGTTGCTTCTCCTGTTTAAGATGTTTTTGGAACATTTCACAGTGCTCCTAGTCTTAAATTGACCTGTCCCACCTTTTTTGGAACATGTTGCAGGCATCAGTTTCAGAATGAGTATATATTTACAAAAAACAATGCATGTCAAAAGGTAAAACATTAAATATCTTTATACTGTTATCATTTAAATAAAGGCCAAAGTGAATTTACAAATCAGTTATTTCTGTTTTTATTTGCATCTTAAGTCCAAGTCTGTAAGTTTGTGCATGTAAGTGCTGAGTTTTATATCATTGCAACCCCAGTGAAAACCATCTATACTTGTTCTTAACTGTTACAGATTCTTCAAGAGATCAAGTTGAGATTTTGTTTACATTCTGACAGATCATCACCAGCCCAGCTCTAATAAACATCCGCTTCACCTAACACACTTGGAGGCATTGGAAATCATTATGTTCTCTTTTTAACTTCCTCCCTTTATGTTGGAGGTCCTGTTTTTTTAACACCAACGCAATGAGATAAAATATAGTATTAACATACAAGTCACCAGAGATGAGTATGTACATTGTGTTTATATTGAACAAAAAGCCCATTACAGCAGACTGGGCATGTGTGCGTGATCAGAAACTGGAGATATAAATGGGGCTCATGGTTTATTATCATTTCCTGGAACATAGGGGTTAAAAAGCTTTGGTGCATGGTGAGTTTATCAGGTGGTGGTAATTTAATCCTAGTGATTTTAGAATGTTCGAATTGATCCTAATGCATTATTATAATGTTCAGAAAGTTTGTAGATACTTGCTCATCCAGCACTAAAATCAAGGGCATTTACAGGAAGTTTGTCCAATTTTGCTGCAGAAACAGCCTCTTCTGGGAAGGCTTTGTGTTAGAGGTTGGAACATTGCTGTGAGGATTTGATTGCATTGAGCCACAAGAGCATTAGTGTGGTCAGGTACTTATGTTGG